AGTATTTACCTCATAGTGTTGTTTTGAGGATAGAATTAAATACTCGGTACAAGGAGAGAGGTTGATGCCTGACACATACATACTAGGATTCCGAATAGCAGCTGCTGTTTTCTCCATAAAATCAATTCAAGATAGGCTTACCATAAGATATATTAAAAGATTAAAAGATTATATCATTGTGAATAAGGATTATAACTTCTAATTATCATGTTCCAGGCTATATTCATGTAATTTTATTGTAAAAGTTTAAAACTAGGTCATCTTTTGTTGTGATCTGTCTTCAGTTCATTTTAAAGAACATGAACTCAGAAAGTAGCCTAATTGCCTCTGTATTAAGCAGTCTTTTCAGGTGATATTCCCATTTTATAAGAGCTTTAAAGAGAATTTGTAATTCCTTTGAAGTAATTTCTTCTACTTGATAAATTATTTGGGGATTGAATAGCCAGAAATCTGGTCTTTTCAGTCTGTTAGTAAACAGGAAGAGGAATGTTGTAAATTTTTTACATAGACCTGGTTGAAAAAGTCTGTTCAAGATTTTTGTTTAGGGGCCGACCCCGTAGCTTGGTGGTTAAGTGCACATGCTCCGCTGCTGGCGGCCCGGGTTCGGATCCCGGGCGCGCACCGACACACCGCTTGTCAGGCCATGCTGAGGCGGCGTTCCATATAGAGTGGAGGAAGATCAGCGTGGATGTTAGCTCAGGACCAGTCTTCCCTCAGCAAAAAGAGGAGGATTGGCATGGATGTTAGCTCAGGGCTGATCTTCCTCCAGCACATGCGCGCGCGCACACACACACTAAATAAATACATAAATAAATATGAAGATTTTTGTTTAAGAAGACTCAACATATTTATAGCTAATTCAAAGCACATGTATTTGTTTTGTTGGAATGATCATATATCTATGTGATTGAAAAGAGGTAGACGACATAAAACTTTTTCAGTACCTGTTACTGCTTTCCACTTTTTTTTTTAAAGATTTATTTATTTATTTACCCCCCAAAGCCCCAGTAGATAGTTGTATGCCATAGCTGCACAGCCCTCCAGTTGCCGCATGTGGGACACGGCCCCAGCGTGGCCGGAGAAGCGGTGCGTCGGTGCGCGCCCGGGATACGAACCCGGGCCGCCAGCATCAGAGAGCACACACTTAACCGCCAAGCC